CCTCTTTTTGAGGAACATGAGCATGGATCCGGCTTTTCCGCAAAGTTTGCCTTGCTTGGAAGCATCTGATTCTAGGGTCTTTTCACCAATACCTGTGATTAATGGTCCCGAGGAAATTTATCCACCTGTTCAAATGTCATCTGCTGAGATGCCCCTCACAGAGACTGGTAAGGAAATATTTAATCCTTAAAAAGCCAAGCTCCTTAGGAGAGAGGAAAGGAAAGGGGTTAAGGGTCCATTGCCCTCTTGAGAAATTACAGTTCATTCATATACAAGTGTCATTATTGTCCTTTGGATGGAGGGAGAGACCACACAAGAGACTTACTTCATGCAAGGGGGGGGGGGAGCGGAGTTTATTGGGGATCCCTTCCAGTGGGACTCTGTGCCCACTCAAGAAGGGAGAGCTCTGTGCCCACTCAAGAAGGGAGAGCGGAGGTCAGGCAGAGCTTAAGTACACTTTTTGGAGAGGGTGGGGGGCTTTGCATACATCAGAACAAATCATCATGAGGCGTGGGAAAACTGAACAACATCTCTGAGACATGATTAGTACATACATTGGCGGGAACAATTTGGACAGGGGTGATTGGTTACTTCTAAGTGGGGTACACATTTAAACTGATTAGTTCTGGGGCCTAGATGCTTACGTGCCATGCTACCTAGAGCCCTTAGCTATTAAACAACCAGGGAATCAGTGAAGACATTTACTAGGCAGTTCCCGCATTGTCCTAACAATTTTACAGAGATTACAGGTTCGGGGATAGCAGAAGAATTGTAACAATAGACTTTTACAATTGTAACAATCGTCTTTTACTTTTTAGCCCAGGCCTTGTAATCTAGAAGCTTTACAATGCCCTAGTCTCTTACACTTTAACTCAAGCTTTTGCAGCTTGGAATCAGCTTAGAATTTTTACCTTTACACTTTGAATTGTAATTTGGGGACATTTTCAATTATGCCACAGGTCTCAGGAATTATGGACTAAGATGAGGGGCATGGAATTGAGCAGTTTGTACGTTTTTGAAAACCTATATGCTTGGGGCTGGGGATGTGGCTCAAGCGGTAGCGCACTCGTCTGGCATGCCTGCGGCCCGGGTTCGATCCTCAGCACCACATACCAACAAAGATGTTGTGTCTGCCAAATACTAAAAAATACATATTAAAAAATTCTCTCTCTCTCTTTAAAAAAAAAAAAGAAAAGAAAACTTATATGCTTTTAGGCATTGTGGAAACAAAAGTGTGTTGTCACAATTAAATAAGAGATGTACAAGTCCTAAACAGTGTTGGGCACCCGGTTACAGTAAATATTATGGTTCATTAGCCAGAGGAACTAACATCCCAGCTTGGGGATAAGCATCATATTTTTGGTTGGTCAAAACTGGCAAGTCGAGTCAAGGTGAGATGATCTAATTAGTGTATGATTTACATAGATGAATTTCTTCTGCCATAGTAGTGGTTGGTTCTTTTAACCTTTGGATGTGTGAATGTTAATGAGCAGTTCCAAGTTTGGACGTATCTGCTATGTTCAACTGTCCTAAATCCCAAACAAATGTTGACCTAATTTTATGGTAAAGATAATTCCATGAAAGTTTTGTTTGTTTGTTTGTTTGTTTGCACCTTGCTGAGGCTGACTTTGAACTTGTGATCCTCCTGTCACTGCCCCTGGAGCCACTGGGATTACAGGCATACACCACTCATAAAACTTTAAACTTGTTAACAGTCAAACAGAATGTGGCTAGAGCTCAGATTTAAAATCCATTTGCAAAGTGGGGGGGGCGCTAGGGTTGAGGCTCAGTGGTAGAGTGCTTGCCTCGCACATGTGAGGCACTGGGTTCCATCCTGAGCACCAGCATACATACATAAAGATATTGTGTCCATCTGCAACTAAAATAATATATATTAAAAATAAATAAAGTAAAATCCATTTGGGCTTTAAAACATATGCCTAGGCCAGGTAGAGTGGTGCATGCCTATTAATTCCAGCTACTTGGGAGGCAGAGGCAGGAAGATCATAAATTCTAGGCAATTAAAAACAACCACCACCACATTATCTTGAAATAAAATAAAAAGGGCTGGGTATGTAGCTCAGTGTAATTAACCATCTCTGGGCTCAATACCCAGTAAGACCCCCCCCAAAAAAAAAGTGAAAAAAAGAAAAGTAAAGAAAATGATAACTATACATATATATTTTGGGGGGTTGCCTGGGATGGAGCCCAGGGCCTGGCACATGCTAGCCAATTAATCATTCTACCAATGTGGTACAACCCTAGTGTAATGACTGCTGTAGTTGAGCATTGTGGTTTTTTGTTTTTGTTTTTTACCAAGGATTGAACTGGGCGGCAGTGGGGTTGGGGTCGGGGCATGAACCACATTCCCAGCCTTATTTTTATTTTATTAGAGACAGGGTCTCACTGAGTTGCTTAGTGCCTTGCAATTGCTAAGGCTGGCTTTGAACTCCCAATTCTCCTGTCTCAGTCTCCGGAGCAGCTTGCCGGCTCAAGCATTGTTTTTCATGCACAAATGTGTGTAGATAGTTAAATTTTAGGACATGATCCATTTCTCATGCTTGGTTGAAGATTTTAAAAACTATATGTAAGAAGCAGAAGAGTGTGCATTTTTGCTGTTTTAAGGCCTATGTATTTCAAGACCACAGGGTACTATTGGTGTTGAATCACTAAGAATACTTCAATGCAAATAATTAATGGAGGTGGCTGCTGAGTTTATGACTGAGTGTAGCTCAGTGGTGCCCTCGACTAGTGTGTGCAAGGCTCTGGGTTCCATCCTCAGCACCCCAACAAAATGAATAAATATATTTATAAAATACAGATACTTATAAACTTTTTTTTTTTTTTTTTTTTT